GAGAATCTCATGGCTTCCAAGAAGGAGCTTCATCCAAACATCCAGGGTGGCCAGAGCCGCTCCGTCCCTTCTTTTTCTCTGAGCAGCGCCCGTAAGATCCGACGGCCTCCTTGCCCGGATTGGACAGCTGTTCGTCCTCTGCTCCGGCCGAGGAGAATACGTCATATGTCTTCCTTCAGAAGGAGCTTCACTTCATGAAACACATCCAGGGTGGCCATGGCCAGAGAGCCGCCCCGTCCCTTCTTTTTCTCCGAGCGCCCGTGCCGGATCCGACAGGGCCTCGCCCGGATTGGACGGAGAGTTGGTCAGGAAGCCCGCTGTTCTGTTCTGATGCCGTCTCACATCTTGCCGAGCTCTTGAACAAGCGCGCACTCCCAATGCCTAGTCGCGAGCTAACTCAATGGAATCCGCCGGGGAGCTTCCCGTGTTGCGGCAGCTTTGGAGCAGCTTTCAAAATGCGCAGCCGCGAACAAAACACTTGACTCAGTGACCATCCAAGGCATTTTCATCGTGCAGGACTAGCAGACTAGCACCGACCAGTTCTCTCACTGGAGGGAGGGAGAGAGGGAGAGAGAGAGAGAGATTTTCCTTGCTTCACGCTTGGCTCTGCGAGTTCCGATCTTCGATGAACAGAGCACAGCAGAGCACAGCAGAGCAGCGCCCTTCAAGTTATGACCCTCCAGTACCGTCTCAGATAATCTCGGAAGTTCATCTTAAAGGCCGCGCCACGCGATTGAGCAGCCGCATGGTGCGCCCAGCTGGCAGTGCAGCATCACGCGTTGACTTTGTTCCGAAGAACTGCTGAGTTATGTTGCTTGGCACCGTGGCGGGAGCAGTTCATACAACTGTAACGGAAAAGATGGATACAAGAGCCTCAAGCGCAGGTGTTCTGTGTATGTGTGATCTCCTTCGGCGACGGCTGGCGGCCCTTCTGGCTGCGAGAGAGTGCGAGGCCTCAGCTGAAGCACCTCAGTCATGGTCATCGCTTTACAGCTTTCCTCCTTCGTGCCTGAAGGTTGTTTGACATAAAGCCTATGATAGAATCTCGGCCTGTGGCGCCACGCTTCGAGGCCAGTACGATGCCGCCAGGGAGACCGAGGAGGCCCAGTCCTCGGAATCCACCAACGCAAACGTAAGTATGAACGTACGTGACTGTTATCTTTTTTACACATACACCTCTAGGTACGGAGAAAGATATGTTGCATGGACATTTGAGTATTATGTCGGTTATCTGTTTCGGATCAATGCCTCTGCGTGCGCTGGTGCAGAGAAAGGTTGAACTAACGGATTGCCCATGCCTTGCGGAACATACATGATGCAATGGACGACAGATGCCCTGATTGGCATGGGATATTTTAGTTCTGGCATGCTTGGGCTGCCAAAATCAACGAGCTACGCATGTTTGGGATCTCCCAATTTCGGCACTAATTATTTTCGATCGGGAGAATTATGGCAAATTCCGCATAAAGAATATGTTTTGTTTGAGAGCTGGTCTTTTGCCAACAAAGGAGCCACCTTTACAAAAGATTAGAAGGATCAAGATCAAAGAGGAGGACAGGAACTTGTCCTTCCTTGTTGTTGCCGTTCTTCGTTTCTCCTCCATGCAAGTTAAAAGAGGCCGCTCCTTGGCTTTCTACGATTCGTTGCTGCCCCTTGGTCTGCACGCGTGCTTGTCGGTTGGGTGCGCTGTGTGATGAACTCCTTGTGTGCGGGTGACTGCTTTTGCTGCTGTGCGGGTCGGTGTGCAGCTGTGGGTTGTCCTGAAGGGGCTCGGTGGCAGGGTCGATAGAGGGGCTTTCGGGGTGCCCCCAGCAATATTTGCTGCTGCTGTTGCGGCTGTCTCCGACGCGACGGAGGGAGAGAGCGAGACAGAGTGTCCAACCGAGCTCAAGTGTCCGCACCTTTGTTCTCGGGGGCCTGTTACGTCTCCTTGGGCATGGGGGGGAGGCACGGGGTTAACCTGAGGCTGTGCCCTCGCTTGAGTCCTGCGCCGACCCCTGATTGCTTGACAGGCCCCTTTGCGCCGAGCCTTCTTCGGAACCTGACCGCGGCCCCTCCGTGCCAGTAGGGGGAAGAGGCATACTACTTCACAGTGGAGCTCGGGGGGATCGACCTGCCCTACCTGCCTGTACATTGACCTCCACGATGGCAAGCTCTTCGACAGACCCGAGCAACAGGGCGGAGAACAGGAAAGGCAGAGCCAGGCCGGCCTGCGAACCCTTGACCAAGCCGTCGAAAGTCAACACTGCACGGGAAGAACAATGCAAGCTTGCAGAGAAGCTTCGTGACTTGGGGGTGTTTTGCAAAGCATGCCTGGGTCGGCACTTTTGCTCCAAGCCCATGACAACGGGGATACGTGTATGCAACTACAAAGTGGCCACAGGGCAGCTCACCAGCCTAAGGCGAACATGTGACCTACGCACAAAGATGGATGATGACGATGCCAACAACCTACTGACCAGAGGCTTCGGGGGAGAAGCCCCACAACATGCCACCAAAGGCCAGGGGAAGGGCAGATCGTTGTCCGACCATGTCAGAGTCACGTATGGAACAGGATGTGGCACTCCTCTACGACCCCGAGCCCGCTGGACAAGTGGATTGGAATGCCTATCCGACCAGAGGGAAAGACGGGGGAGTATGCCAACCTCACGGGGTAGACGCTGGACGCGGGGGACACCGATGATTGACACAAATCGCCCAGCGGACCGACTGATGGCTATAGTGGGGGCACACAACCCACGCATAGAGGAGGAGCTTCGCTTCTATGTGGGGAGGCACCCGTGGAAAGTAGCCAACCTTCTCAGTTCGGCCAAAAGAGTTTTCACGAAAGCCAAAGAGAAAGCACAGTGCAAAGAGGGGGGGCAAGGCGGAGCAGCAGACCCGGATGTGGGGGGAAGGAGCGCAAGCACCCAGGACCACAAGAAGAGGAGCCGAAGAAAAAGGGACCAGCATGTGGCGAGCAGTCAAAGGGCAGCAAATTGCGGGGAGTGTGCTGAATTGGGCTTTTTCGGTTTAGGCTCGCTTCATGCTGTTGTTTTACACTTTATGTCATGCTCCTTGAAGAGTACCCCACTTCAACTCGCAATGCCGCGCCTAATTACTGCAACTTGCGGAGCCAGACACCACCACCGTTGGGGGAGCCACACACGGACCTTTCAATGCAAACCTTTTCCCAAATTCGTACAACTCTGAAGTGGGGGATCTTGCACAGTATGTTACACCTTGAAATTTGGCTGCAGCACCTGTCCTCGTGATCTACACGGCTCTCTGTTGAAAGTGTTGCTGCTACTGAAGGTGCACCCCCGTAAACTGACTTTCCCCTGAGCTGGTCTGGTCCTTAGTTAGTTTGTTGGTGTGAGAACAGGGGAGCAGTTGCATGCCGTAGTTTCCTAATGGGAAGGTGGCTGTTGCAGGTATTACGGAAATTGCTTTAGAAAGCGCAGTGACGAGGCCTGCTTCAAGTTCAGGGTCGGCGCCTTGGCGCGGGTCAGCATTGCTGACCTGAGCCCAGCGGAAGGAAGGAAGTGTCCAACCGACGGGAGACACATCCTCCTCTAATGACCCCCATGCCTCCTTCTCTATGAAACCAGATGGGAAGGGCGGCGCGTAAGCGCGGGTCCACCAGTTGGACTCAGCACTTCCGGAAGGAAGGAAGAAACGCGAGAGAGTGCTAGTCTTTTATGCGTAGCTAGGATGTTATCTTCAGGGACTGGTGATTTTTCGCTCGCGTTTCGGGGTGCCGTTTCCACTGATGCAACAAATCACGTGCGCTTTTGCACGGTCCCACAGCCCATCGTTGCTAGCCAGAACACCCTACATCGTCTGCAGTTCGATAGCCTATGAAAGTACACTGAGCATGGGTTGTAGCGTTTTACGTTGGCTTTGTCAATTTCTCTCCCTGCCGTGATCGCAGCTGTCCAGCATCAGCACCGATGTTTTTGACGACAAAGGACTGGATGCCTCGTGAAGCCCGGGCTAAGAAATCCCTGCAGGCCCGGCCCCAGAGCCCACAAGAAAACACAGACATAGACACAGACGCACACGGCATCTTTTCCTCAAGTGTTCCGAAACAAAAACGTTTTACCTCAGAAATACGTTGAAGCGCTTGAAGCATAAAGGCCTAAAAAGCCGAAATGTCCTGCGGCCTGCATTCTTGTTTTGAGGCATTTCCGCGTCGCCTTTGAAGCAACATCTGCCGGAATATCTGAAAGAAGCACATACCCACATAGACCTTGAAGGTCGCGCGTACATGAAGAAAGGCCAAAGCCTGAACAGACGCTGTTGTTTCGCTGAGGAGGAGGAGGATCCAGGCACGGTCCAGTACCGGCCCGGGTACTTCGGAGACGAGGCGAAGGTCCAGGGCCGCACCCGAGAAAGAGAATTTTTGTGTTTTCGCATTTCTTTCGATGCCCTCTTTGAGCAGTGTTCGGAAGAGGCTGGTCCGAGATGCTGCGCGGCGCCCCAGAGCCCCGCGGGCCTGCTGCTTGAGACGTGCGCAAATCTTGGAGGCTGGCCGCCGTCACTCTTCAACTTCATGGAGGCCGGGAGCCAAGCCGTGGAGGCGCGCGCGCGCGCGGAGACTCTCGCCCCTCCTTTTTCTGTTTTGCCTCGAGGCTTTCCAGAGAAGCTGAGATGCTGAGATTTTTGGCTGCCAGAAGCAAACTAGCCGCAGTGATGCGTGACGGCCTCTATAGGGGTAGCATGCAAAAATGTGCTGTTTGGAGTTTCTGCCATGGCATCAACAAAGCCTTTGCTGCCATAGCTGCGTCCTCCCATGCGAGTCGATCCGGAGAGAGGTCTGCCGCAAAGTGGGCAGACCGCAGGCTTGCGACCAGTTGCGAGTGCGCCACAAAAAGCACCAAAAGTCAAGCACGCTGCGTTCCCTGCGAAGAACGCAGGCCTCGAGCAGGTTTGTCTTGAAAGGGGACTCTGCACCGCAACTTTTTGCAGGGCTGTCCGAGACCCAGCTCCTTGACTGTGCCTGTTAGCTGGCCCAGCACATGCCACCGCCGTGGCCTCCGCGGTCTGACGTTGCTGGGCTGCAGTGCGGCTGCAGGATCAAGCCGGCTCGGCATGGACGTCGCTGACGACTGCGAGCTGAGGATCAGGTCACCCACCAGGTCCTCGGCTCTGACGAAGCGGTCCAAGCCCAGAAAGGAGAGATGGGCTACGTCGTCGCCGAGGCCGTCGCCGAGGCCGCCGGCAGAAGGGTCGCGGAGTGCTCACGCAGCCTCAAGTTGGCACTGTGCCAGGTGCCTGCAGCGCTGAAAGCACCGGAATCTCCAGTTCCAGAGCCGATTCCCCGTGTCGTTCGTCATGACACACGGCCTCTTGCTTGAAGTCTCCGAGTGTCTCCAGAAGATGTGCCTTGAGTGGATTCAGGAGCCCTGCAAGACAGAGTGACACAAAGAGCCCCCCATGGCCAAAGGGCTGAGCCCTCCTTTTGGCCCCCGTTTTGCCAGGTTCGGACAGCTGCTCGAGAGAGTCTTGTCTGCCACTGGTTGGGTCCCTTACATTTGGGCTTTTAAACGGGTTCCACAGGGGTTGGTAAGGGGATTTATCTGGGGAGTTTTGATTCTTGGAGTGTGACGTTCTTGGTTGTCCAGACGCTTTTTCCAGAGGGCTTTGCAAAGGGGTTTGGGTTCTCAAGAGACGGGTTGTTTCGGAGGTGCTCGCTTCTCTTCACCTTGAAATCTGAAGATCCCGAATCGTTCAGGAAGTGTCTCAAGCTCCCAAGTCGCCAGCCAAGAATTTCGGGACTGCGAGATCAGGGAAGGCGGCAAGACGCAAGATGTGATCTTAGACAAGTTCTTCGAAGCTCCTCGCCCAGCAGATAGTTGCATGCTTTCTTTAGAGCTCGGCAGAAAGCCGAAACCGCAAGCTGCCCAGGCTTGCGAGCTCTATAGCGCCTTGTCTCGAGCACCTGGTGTCGTATAGTCGTGCTCGTCGTAGCACATGAGATGATGTAAGGCTTTTTAGAGGGCTTTGTAGCACGACCTGGGAGAGGACCCCCCTTGAGCCGCAAGCTTATGCTGTGGCCTCAGGAGATATGCTGTCCAAGCTCGGTCGAGCAGCCAGCGTGGTCGTGGGCGACATCGAGCACAACCTCGGCAAATCCAAAGCCGGGAGCCCAGAGAAGCAGAGGGAGCCCCTTTTGAGCGGCGCTCGGCCCAAAGCCTGCCCGCTGCTGCCGCTCGAAGAGGCGGTTTACCTGGAAGCTCCGGAGGAGCGAAAGACCCTGACCGCCTACCTGCCAGCGCCCCAGAGAGCTCGGAGTGCTCGGAGCCGGGCACTCGTGCGAAGCACGCGAAGCTTCCGACAGGCGGCTGCCGGCTTCTCACGTGGGCATCGAGAAGATCACGTGGCTGCTCAGGCCGGCGGCGCCGACGACGCCGCTGCATAAAATAGCAGCTCTTCTGGTGCACTTCGCCAGGGGCGTGGAGTTCTTCTTGACCATGATCAAGCTCATCTTCACCCCGGAGTCTGGTGGAAACCCGGCCGTGGAGGCAGTGGAAGTGAAGCCTGCATATGATGGGGCGCCTGGGCGGGCGTGCCGAGGCCTATCAGCAGACCTTGATGCAGTACCACGGCTGGGTCCGGGCCCCCGGTGCCGCGAGCGCGAGCGCAGTACGTGCAGCCGTATCTACGCGCGACCGCTCGAGCCGGCCCGAGCCGCTGAGATGCTTCAGCAGACGGTGAAGCTTGGCATGCGGGCCATGCCCTCGAAGGATGGCATCGTGCAGTCCGAGGGCCTGGTGCTAGGCCCGTGGCCGCCTTCCTACACAGAGCGCGCCCTCCCTCCTCCCCTCTCCCCTCTCTCTTCCTTAACTTCCTACGCCCCCTGTTGGGGGAAGAGGCGAGGCGTCGGCGGAGCAGCGGCAGGCGCTCTGCGAGCGCGACGCGCCGCCGGCCTCCGCTGCCGGCCTCGACGTGCCGCTTTGGCCCAAAGAGAGAGAGAGAGAGAGAGAGAGAGAGAGAGAGAGAGAGGGGGCAGGCCGTACTGAGACGTCGTAGGCTACATGCGGGGGAGCCATGAGCCGGGAAGCTCTTACTTTGGTTTTGCCTTGTCTTGGGGGTAGCTTGGTAGCTCAGTGTGTGCTGGTTCGGAACACAGGCTCAGTACAGAAGGCTCCCACGTCAACTAGTAGTGCACCGAAGCCAGAGGGGACATAGGGGAACAGTGTAGGTCAGCTGTGTTCATGCATGGTTTGTCAGTGCAGAGTGTTGTTGCAAGAGTGTCGCCTCAGCCGGAGCCTCAGTGTACAGTTTTTGCCAGAGCAGTGACATAGGGGGGCTTGCACCTTGTTGTTGTAGGTACACTTGCAGTTGTGGTAGGGGACATGTACGAACCAGTCGCTGCTCAGAGCTAAGCAGTTCCGGACCCGTTGCAATTTAGGGGGACATTTTGTGCTCGCTGTTGTTGACCTGAGAGGGGCTACCGGAACGGCACGAGATGTCAGGGCGGCAATAAGCTGCAAGTTGACAAACAGAACAAGCTTTAGCCCCAGTGACGAGGCCGGGGGTAACTAGTGTACAGGGTTATAGCAGGGGGTCACGAGCTCTTATCCACCGGCCTCATCGGGGAGCAAGTTCTCACACCAGACAAGAACCCAGTGCGCGTTCGCGCGCGGGAGGGGGGACGGCCTCCCTCTTTGGCTGTGCAGAAGAAGAAGGAGAAGAGAGAGAGAGAGAGAGAGAGCGCAGGCGCGCCGCAGCGTCTCCGCACTCCGCGTCTCTCTTCGCCTCTCCTTAGAGATTCTGTGTTTTAGCTAGTGTTTTAACATAATTAACATAGTTAGAAGAAAAATTAACAGAATTAGATACATGGTTAACTTATTTTTAGGTCGAATGTTAGTAATTGTTTAGTAGAAAATTAGGTTGTCAAATTTATTGCAGGAAAGAAGAAAATTGGAGCTATAGCCGATATGGTTTAAACCACGGCCACATGTATGTTTTCAGGAAATCTTTGCCAATAAACCGGACGAAAGACAAAGTAATAGAAGACTGTGCCAGGAAACCGACAGCAAAATTAAATAGAGAGCAAGCCCAGATACTGCAGATGGGAAAAATGAAAGCCGAAAGGCAGGTTGCTGGACTTATTATTTCCTCCGGCCAAAATGCAATGGCATGTGGGG